TGTACAACTGTTGGCAAAATAATGAACGGAAACTGAAAATTTCTTTATTTTTTAAGTTAAAGGGGCATAACTTTGCTAAAAATCACCAAAGTATGATTAACTTCCAACTTGACCTGCACATTTCTATGACATATCCATCCATATGTTAAATTTCAGTTAAATGTGTACAACTGTTCGATAGATAATAAATGGTATGGAAACTTAAAATTTATTAATTTTTTTTTTCAGTCAAAGGGGCATAACTCTGCCAAAAATCTTCAAACCATGGCCAAATTCAAAGCTGACTTGCATTTTTCCATGATATATATATATCCATATGTCAAATTTGAGTTGAATGTGTGCAACCATTACCAAGATAATGAACAGAAACTGATGATGATGGAATGATGGTACACTGGGTAACACTATATAACTAATCTAAGTTTTATATTAATTTAATGTATCACTATTGTGGACCATGTCTTAAGGTATTCCGACTCTAATAGTGAGGTTTTTGAAACTGCAAATGGTTATTATTTATAGCAAGTATATGCTATAACTCATTTATTTTCAAGTTTTCAGTCAGATTTACCGTCTGATTTAAATTTTATACAAAATTGAAGTTTACAACCCTTGATCGCCAGATTGACCCAAAAGTCCGAGCACCCTGCCAGACAAAAAGAAGTAATTTTTCTTATAAAAAATGAAAAAATGTTATGATTATATTATTTGACATTACATGTGCATATCATGTTCTTCAAGAACAGATAAGAAAGCACTAAGTTATAAAAAGAAAGCAATAGATACCAGCATACACAGCCCAGTGTGAGTAAACTCCTCTTTTGAACTCCAATAAATCTCCTTTTTCAAGGTTCTCTAAAACAGTTGTGTTGTGTTGCTTAATTGCTAGTGCTGCCATCACCAAACAGATTTTATTTTATCTTGACATGTAACCTTTAATGAAAACTCCTTATAATAAAATATGTTATAAAATATGTTATTATTGGATGTTTCAATAAAACTGTATATTTTATATTACAAATAGTACTAGCTTTCAGCTAGGTACAATAGAAAATAATGTAAAACTACAGTAATATACTTTCAAAAAACAATGTTACATGTCTTCTATTCTATTTAAATATTTTATAACATGCTTTTCAGGAGATAATAACAAATTTTTAGTTTTGTTTAGTTTATACTTATTTATTTTAGCTTGATTGTGCTGGAAGATGTAAGCAAATTGATCGAAACACTCTGGAAATCTGTTCCTGGAACCAACCAGTACTGAGCAATGATTGAAAAGTTTCTTGTTAAAGGAAACAACAGCATGCCCATAACAGAGTGCATAGATCCCTTCCCTGTCTAATTCTAATTATCAGATTAGTGAACACAATAATAATTTCACCACAACCTATTTGTTAACAAAAGAGCACATGTCAGTGTTTTTGGTTAAATTTATTGTGATTCAAATTAAAGGTCAGAGTAGGGATCTAATCAGTTTGAACAGTCCAGCCGCCACGCGGACAGCAATCCTTGAAGATCACTAAGTCTGACGTGTTCACCACTGTGCAGTGCTGCCACACACCATGCTGCCACACACAACAACTACTTTGGATAATAACATAGTAAATATATAATTATATAAAATATTTATTCAACATCTGACAGTCAAAACTGTACATTGAATGCAGATGAAAAATTATATTCTTAACAAATGGAATTTTCCCTCATCAGTGAACAAGAGAGTAGTAAAAATGTTTAGTTTTCCAGTTCACCAGAGGTAATGTTTCAGCTTATTCTACAACATAACATTATCAATTAAGCAATTTTATGAAGCTATAATAAATAATAGGTCTGGTTTTAGAGCAGTATTTTCCTTTTTCTGCGAATTGAATACATTTTGTTAGTTTGGCGATAAATTGTAGTGTATTTGTTGACATTTACAACGATGTTGATATTTACCACTAAATCAGGTCCAATACACATTTGTTGTATCAAAAATTGAAAATCCTTATCTAACATAAAACTTCAAAGACATAGCTATAGACTTCCTTCTACTTGTATGTGAGTGGTCATCCATTAACTGTTACTGCTTTCAAATAGCAAAATTTGCGAAAAACAGCATTGCCTTGTTAACAGGGTCTTGGTGTAGATGGAAAACTGTTAGCAAGTGTACAGGGTGTACTGTAGTAAGTAAACGAATGCTATTTTCTGAAAAAATAAACTTAAGTACCAGAGCATAGACATAAAATTATGCTGATGAAGTAAATAACTATCAATGTTGGGAGCAGGGGCCTAAATTAAAACATTTTTAGAAGCTAAAGTGAAACATTTTAATATACATGTATCATTTCATAGGATCATTACCTTAAGTGAACTGGAAGTAAACCTTTTTGTACTTTCGTTTGTAGTTTTCTGAGGGGCTACTTATGTTGATTTTATGTTGAACCCAATACAACAGTGGTTATACTGCATGGTCATGCGTAACCTACGTAGGATGGTCAACTATGATACCAATGTTCTTACTTATTATCTTCAGTAAACTGTATGAATAAGACTTACATTTACAAAATCATACATATTAAAATGTGTTTTAACTGTTGCATGTTGAATTTTAAATTCACGCTGCTCAAAGAATAAGTCTAAATAATATGCCCATCCAAAAGTAAATGCTATAATTATAGTATAGCATACATAAATTGACAAATATACATTTTGCGTTTTAAGTTCCACACCCCAGTGTCTGTGGAATTAATTAGGCTATTCAAACCTGTATAATACGGTGGCATAGAGGTGACATTTGCAGTTTTATTTTATCTCGTGGCCACGACTTATTATCTCGTTGCCACAATTTATTATCTTGTGGCCTCAAGATATTATTTCATGGCCACAAGTTATTACCTTATGGCCATGACTTATTATCTTGTGGCCACGACTTATTATCTTGTGGCCATGGCTTATCATCTCGTGGCCACGACTTATTATATTGAGGCCACGACTTATTATCTCGTGGCCACGAGTTATCATCTTGTGGCCACGACTTATTTCAGCCAATGAAAATGGTTGTTTCATCTTGAACAAAAGTTAATATCACTAAGACCTTATGTCACACTGGCCACAACTTTCACAAGAGCGGCAGGTGAAACGCTGCGGTGGTGAAGAAGGGGAACGTTTTATAATTATTATTCTTCTTTTTTGTATGGTCAGGTGTTTCTTTTATATGTCAATTCTTTTAAGATTTCCCCTTTCAATGCTACTGCTATTGCTGTGCTATTGCTAATGCAAATTTCACGTTTTATAGTTTTCCTACTGCTAATTCTATGCTACTGTTACTGCCAACTTCTTGTTTTATAATTTTGTTACTACTACTGCTCACTGTTACTGATAACTTCCTACTGGTGATGATCACTTATAAAAGTGTGTGTATTTTATGAAAAACTGCATCTTTAGAAACTTGATCCTTAAACATAGGGACCGTTAAATAAGAATACAAAGGGCCAATTAGTGATGACAAGACTCTAATCAGTGGACGTGTTAATGGGATATTATACAGTTTATAGTGATATACTAGCTGATAAGCCCTTACTGAAATTCAGCACGTCTCTGGGAAAATGCGTAGGAAACTACTCAAGTGAATCTATGGTGGTGATTGACCCGCCCCTCCAGTGACTGCTATTACCAGTGTGATATTAAATTTTGTTCAAGATGAAACGACCATTTTTATTGGCTATAAAATAAGTCGTTGCCACAAGATAATAACTCGTGGCCACAAGAAAATAAGTCATTGCCACAAGGTAATAAGTCGATAAAAAGTTGTGGCCTCAATATCATCTCGTGGCCAGGACTTATCATCTCGTGGCCACGAGATGATATCTTGAGGCCACGAGATAATATCTTGAGACCACAAGATAATGGGTACGTTACGATACCGAAATCAACTTGATTTCGGTAAAGTTACCGAAATCAACTTTTCATTACCGAAATCAACTCGTAAAAACCAAACTAGTTAAAATATTGCTATTATTTCTTCAATATTTGATGAAAAATAATGAAATAGACTTTCAGTTAAAAAATCTATTGAAAATATTTTATTTTAATGATGTTATTAACAAAAATGTAATTATTGAGTTACTTCCCTTTGTTCTAAACAACCCGTTATGTGTTTAGCATTACCGAAATCAGCTGTGAAGTTTAAATTATGTATATAATTAGTAGATAAATAATTAATATATTAGATAACTCTAGTAGAGCTCTATTTTATAGACATATTTCTGTTTTTAAGTTTCAACCATATCTAAATATTATCAATGTTGAACGGTTTTGTAAAGATCTCACTAGGTTAAGAGTATCATCTCATAGATTGCACATAGAATCAGGTAGATGAACTAAACCAAATAGTACACCTTTAAATGATAGAAAATGTTTTTCATGTAATGTCTTAGAAGACGAATACAATTTCATATTGGAATGCAATGTATATAATGATTTAAGAAAAAGTCTGATACCGCCATATTAGCATGTTATATATCTGCACGTGATTGTCGTGCATAACAATTTTCTAATCAAATCGTATTTTTAAAAAGCTATGATCGGACAATGATGGAAAAATAAAATACTCTGTAATATGAGTTAAAGATATTTATAAATTTTGTACATGTTTATGTTTTATGAAGAAAAAATATCCAACTTCAACCGGAAGTTTATGATTTTCTATTATAAATTTGAATACAGATATATAATTCGACTGCTCTTAAAATGTTCCAAAAAAATTGTATAATGTATCAGGCAGTAAACTTGGAAATTGGAAAGTTTGTGTCTTTCTTTTATTGAACAGTTAAACTATATATTAACAAATCGCTAACATATGTTATGGGGACTCTTTATCATAATATTTTAAAATTTTAGTCATTTATTTAAATGTTTATTACGACATAAACAGATGGTTCATTATAATCTTTATCTTTAATAACATTGTATGCCAACTGTACCTCCTGTCTTAATTACTTCACACCTTACTTAATACAGTAATACACAACATGTCAAATCGTACTTGTAAGTTACAACATTTCATAATTGAAATTTGTCAGTATAAAGTGTTCCATTTTTTCCATCATATAAATATATACCAGTCATTCCATAAATGTATGCTGTTTACAGATATGAAATTTAAAATGATTTTAAATCGATCAACATAAAATCATGACTTAACACTTTTTCAATAAGTAGAATATGTCCGGGACATCAAAAATTGCATACATTTTTGGAACAACTGATATGCAATTCGGTAATAATAATATCAAAGCACCTTGTCTCATATACCGAAATGTTTTCTACGGAAACGTATCGCGATCACCCCTATATGTTAGTTAAAACAGATCTTTTGACAATTTATTTAATATAAAATTTACCAGCTTACTAGATCTGAAATATTTATACTATAAAACTATAAAAAAAGTCTTTTGATACATATTATATAGGGATGGTCGCTATACGTCATTTAATATTAAACTGTAATGTACTTTTTGTCTTAATAGAGACAAGCAGCTTTAATTTCATGTAAAATAAGTATGTCTAGTTATTTTGTTTGGATACTTTAAAGTTTCCATGCGCCGATGTATATTAAAGGATTGCGGTGAACGAGTATGTTATGTCAACACCTCCATTGTCCGAGCACGTGTGTGCTTGCTCCTTATTAGTAAAGGTGTTATGATGAATGGCTACCGCTACTTCTTTTTATTTTAATCAAATCATAATCATTGGATTTAAATTAAATTTTGTGATAATTTCCAATCAACTATTTCTGAAATTCATGCAAATTATTTAGAAGTTGTTCTCATCTTTGAAATGAAATCTGATTTGATTTCGGTAATGCAACACATTAATAACAAGGGAAGTAATCATGATAATATACATATCCGTCTATAAGTTAACATCATCATTTTTATAATTAAATATTATTTTCCTATGTTTATGGTTCAGTTTGAATGGCTGTATATTAATTAATAAAACAAGATTTATTAAAATGTTTATTTTAACTTTTACAAGCCGATTTCGGTATGGTAACATATACATATATTTCGGTTCGTGACAAATCAGGGAAGTAATCTTGATATTTAGTTATTTGTTTCTAATTTCATTATAAATAATAATTTCGAACTGATTTTTTGCATGAAAGTCAAACTAAACCTATTGTAATAGTTTATAATGAAAAAAATATAATAGAACGCTTAATTATGATTTTACAAGTCGATTTCTGTATTGTAACATATATTTCGGTTCGTGACAAATCAGGGAATAATCTTGATATTCAGTTATTTGTTTCTAATTTCATTATTAATAATTATTTCGAACTGATTTTTTGCATGAAAGTCAAACTTAACCTATTGTAATATATTATAATGAAAAAAATATAATGAAACGCTTAATTGTGATTTTATAAGTTGATTTCGGTAATGAAAAGTTGATTTCAGTAACTTTACCGAAATCAAGTTGATTTCGGTATCGTAACGTACCGCAAGATAATAATCAGATAATTCTTGGCCACGAGATAATAACTTGTGGTCACGAGATAATATCTTGAGGCCACAAGATAATATGTCGTGGCCACGAGATTATAAGTCGTGGCAACGAGATAATATCTTGAGGCCTCAACATAATAAGTCGTGGCCACGAGATAGAATAAAACTGCAAATGTCACCTCCAATGGGTCTATGCCACCGTAGTAAACTGTAATAATGCTTCAAAATTATAAGCAATCTGCACTGTCAATTTCAATAGATCTGTAATATAGCAAAATTACATTTGTATTTACCCAATTCTGGAACATACGATCCCAGCCCAATTCAAGTATTCTTCAACTTGAAGCCGCGAATTAAGTCATATCTAAATTAAGTTACTTAAAAACGAAAGTAGGAAAATTGCCTGATTCATTCGGGTTGCTTCTTTTATTAGGGTACCAAGTTTTTTATCCAAAGGGTTTAAAGGGAAAAGGGGGCCAAAAATAAAGGGGCGATATTTCCGGAGACGAAAAAAGGGGCCGAAAAGGGGCGGTTTAAAAAAGAGGGACAACCCCTTTCGGTTTTTTTTAATATATACGCTGCAGCGATTACTTACCTTGATTTATAAAAAAAATATACGGAATTACCACAGGGACCCAGCACAGTGTTGGCATAGTGTAAAAATGTAAATCTAAAAAAATATATATACTGTATATATAATATATAGACCCAGCACAGTGTTGGCATAGTGTAAAAATGTAATTCTAAAAAAAAATATATACTGTATATATAATATATAGACTATATATAAAGTATTTTTTTTTCTAGAATTACTTTTTTTACACTATCCCAACACTGTGCCGGGTCCCTTTGGGAATTACCTCAAATATTTATAAGATATAACATATCAAACATTATCAAATAGTTACCGTACCGGATTACAAGTCTCAGGTACCAATCAGAGTTGCAAAACCTATCAGTCAGTCAAGCTTGTCCAAAACTTATGATCATTTATTTTCTCCAT